CTATTGTTGCATTATCTCCATTATCTGGATTTCTCTGAATGTTGAAGGTTCACAGAAGTATTTAGCATACATCTACCTGTTCAAGAAGTCAGTAATTTAATGTGTGTCTGAAAACTGAGGATGTGTGTGCTGCAAGGTGCCCTTGTACATGTAGCCATGGAGGTCATGGAGTGTTGGGGTTGGGTGCAAAAACCTCTGCTTAAGAGGAACCTGCTGGTGTGCCTGACACAACCTGCTCACTGTATCCCTTTTCTGCTATTATGCTGTAACATCACAGAAACATTGGCTTATACTGAAGTTCCTGAAGTCAAAGTAGTAATGGCAAGGTAAGAGAGCTAAGAATATATGAGTTGGTGGAACCACCTTCCCCTCTGACAGCAAGGCTGATGTACAGTGCTTTCGGCCTTCTTTGTAAGGGAACAGGCAAATAAATGCCCAGAGCATGACCAGACAGCAAAACCGCTGCTGCCTGAGGAGAACTTCAGTTTTTACCATTGTGGGATGTCCAGGTTTTGGGGTTTCACAGAGACTCCTTCATTCATCTCCTCCCTCCCCTGATGGCTGTGGGCCATTTTAGAGTTATCTCTCTGTACATGCAAAGGAAATATCTCGTTAATATAAAACAGTGCCCTGGAACAGTGGTGCCTCAGGTGCTGGTTAGGTAATGGGTCAGGCTTGGTACCCAGCCAGAACTGGTACCACATGTCTCACAGGAGCAGTTGTTTCTGCTTCTGTTCCTCTCGGTTACTTGTTATTCAAAGCAAAATCAGCTGTCCTGCCTTATCACTGCTGGGTTTGGATTGTGGGCTAGAAACTGGTTTGCTGCTGATAAAATGCTGCAGCAAATGGTCCACTCTTAATATGACCTCAGCTCTCATGCCAGTAACACTTCTGAGAAGAGCTTTGTTTCTCCTGTGGTCCCATGGGTCTAATAAATGACCCACTTCTCACTGGGGAGCTGCTCTGCAGCTGCTCTGTCAGGAAAACTCGTGCTCCACATGCAGTACTGAGCTCCAGGAAAGCTACTCTGACCACTGCAAGAGAGCGTTGGCAGCAGGTCTGAGTGCTGCCAGCAGTGAGTTACCCACCTGCAGTACATGCAGCACTTGTTCTTGTACCAGCTGGGCCTGGTGACCAGGCTGTCAGAGCTCCCCAGAGTAAATTGCAGATGGTGGTTGTGGAGCAGCAAAGCATGTGGTCAGATAAAAAAGATTTAACTGTGTAGCATGAATCTGTAGCAGGCTGCTGACTCAGAGCTCCTTGTTGTTCATTTCCTTGTGCACCTAATCCATTACCTTCCCTGTGCCTCATGTGGTTTGTGTAGAGAAAACCTGAGCATGGCAGTATGGATGCTTGATTTTTCTGTTAGTGACCAACAGTGGGATTGGTTATGAACTCCCATCACTGTTTGCTTCTTAGCTGTTCAATAAAGTTAAGATGTTCCACTAAGCAGATGGTTGTGGAGGCCATCTTTTAGATGCTGAATATTGATGATGTTGTTTATTTGAAATTAAAAACTGAATCCACTTGAATGAATAATTCTGGTCAAGTGCAGGTGATACTTTTGTTTAAAAACTGCAGTTAGCTTTTATATGTGCCATGTTTACCCTGGAGGCCAGTTCATGTGGGCCAGGTTTTCTGGAGGGCTTGTGTGGCTCAGAGTAGCCTCAGTGGGGGTCATTGACAGGTAATCATTCCAAGTCCCTTCTCTTCCACCCCTGGCAATCTGGGGGTGGGCTGGCAGGTTCACCAACCTGGCTATCTTGTCTGGTAAATTCTTCCAAACATTCCATGAGTGAGGTGGTGCCATAGCACAAACTCAGGACTTGACTAGTAGAAAACTCAGACTTTGAGCTGTGCTGAATTAAAAAAAAATTAATTAAGAAAAAAATATGGAACAAAACAACAAGAAATGGATGGTTTTACTAGTGCACGTACTGAGTCTGACGGGCTAAAGCAAGTTTAAGACCTTAATGTAATCCATTAAACTAAAGTGGATGGGCATGTGAGGTGGAAATATCCTGGCAGGGGTACCTACAACCCCTTCAATATCCTCTAACCATCCCCATATCTGAAAGGATTTTGTCAGCTCCTGTTCCCCTCTACACATCTCTGTTACCATCCCGTGGGAGTGGAGTACCAAACTGAGTACAGGGAGTTAACCCTGGATGAATTTCATTCATTTAATGAATTTCATGAATTTCAGCATTTTATAGGTCCTGAGAGTATCTGCCCCATAAAACATCTTCTTCCAGCTCAAACCAAACACCAGAAATTCACATCTGAGCAAGTGGGCAATAGTTTTGCCCTTCTTAGCAAAATCACAGCTTCTCAAGAAGGAAAGTTTCACCTAGGATCTCCTTGCTGAGGAACAGGATCCAAGCCGTGTGTGAATGTGTCTGAAGGAATTGCTCCTGGCCTCATTTGGTGTCAGTGGTTTTGCAGCAGAAGATTGCTGTGTGCCCATTCCAGCTCCACTCCCAATCAGTGCTGCACAAAGCTGTCCTAAGGAGAGGGGAAAGTCAGAGAGCTGTCACCTTAGTGCTTAAACCTGAACATTTTAAGATTTAAGGGGTAGTGATTTGAACACTACAATCAGTTCTTTTATTACCCCAACACTTCCCTGGAAGGGAAATAATAGCTAAAGCACTAGGAAGATGACACAGAACAACAGAAAAAAAAAAATCTTCTTGGTTTTCCTGAGGTTTCCCCTCAGGCCCTTTAGCACAGCAGACATTACCACTGGTTTAGTACCAGTGGTGGGGAGTACACCTTGACAGCAGCAGAGCAGTGTTTCAGGGTATTTTATCTTCTTTAGATGAAAAGACATGCTTTTGGATTCAGGCTAAAAAAATGTATTCGTCCTGCTAAGTAGATTGAAAGAGAATCCAGATTAAATAAATCATTAAATTATTCCAGAATGTTATCCACCTGTTCTGGCCTGTAATTTATTTTCAGATGAACAGTAGGTAAAAAAAAAACCAAAACAACACAAAAAAGCAATACAATGAAAAAAACCAATTGTCCTCTTGCAGATGCTTTGATCCTGAAATGACACCTGGCCTGGGGAGCTGCTTGTGCAGTTTTTGAGATCATTTTGAACTAATTGCTCCAACCCACTGCTCCATAACCTCAGTAGCCACATCAAGCTAAAACTCCTGTGGTAGCCACCTTTGAAAAGGGATCTTCAAGGGGTTTGTTGCTGCAAAGCCAGTAAAATTCATCCCTTTATTGTGGGATGGGAAACCTGTAGGGGAACAGGACAACAGGGTGAGGGGTCTGGACCATTTCAGTGCCAGGGCCGTTTTCCTCATGTGCTTGTGCAGCAGTAAAAGAAGGTTTATTCTCTCTTATGTTCCTAAAAGGAAGATTGTGCTTCAAAGGTGGGGAAGTAATAATCTGGCTGGTTGCTTGTATTGTCCAGATTTTCTCATGACTCAGAAATGTTTCCCTGTTCTCTCTAGGAGAATGCCAGTACGTTTTGTGCTGCCCGTGTTGGCTGGGGATGGCAGGAAGGTGAGGTGACCAAGGATCTGAGATGGAAGACAGCAGCCAGTGCTGGGAGTTGGGGGAAGGTGGTGAAAGAAGGTAATTGTCCCGCTCTTCCACACCTCCTCCGGCTCAGATGCAGCTGAAGGCAGCTGCAATCCACGACCCAAATTTCACGTCTCTCCGGTGTATATTTAAACAGATTTAGCCAGCTCGTTTAGTTTTTGGACGAATTCTCCCAGCTGCTGAATGCAACAACGCTGAAGCAGGAATCCGCTGCAGCAGCCCCTCTGTATGGGGGGAGAGGGAGCAGATGCCCCAAGCCAGGGGTGTGTGGAAGAAGCAGGGGCTGCCCGCTGCCCCAGCCCTCACTTTTGGGGGCTTGCTTCGCTCGTCGGCAGATCGGGTTGATAAACTACAGCTCTGGGAGAGGCAGTGCCGGCACCAACCCGTCTCCGCGCTTACCTGGGGGCCGGGCACCAGGGCCGCTGCCCCCGCGGGGAGCGGGCCCGGGCGCGGGGGTCACCGCGGGGGCGCAGGAAGGGCCGGGGGTGGCCGGGGAGCCGCGCCGTCTCGGCCGCACAAAGCCGCCTTTTCATCGCGGCCTCCTGCCCCCGCCGAGCCCGTAATTGTCTTTGACAAAACTTCATTAGCGAGCGCGGCGGAGGCGGCGGCGGCCCCGCGGTCGCGCTGGCTTTGAGCGGGCGCAGTGGAGTGTGCGCGGCCCCGCCGCTCCCGGCCAGGACCATTAGCCCGGCGACTTTGTTTTAGAAACTTCCCACCCCAGCGGGGGACGCGTCACCGAGCCGCCCCCGCCCGCCCCGCGCCGCTAATTGGGGGCCGATGCGGGGCTGCGGGGCTGCGGCAGCCGTGCCAGCGCGTCCCCGCGGGCTGCGGAAAGGGGGAGACCCGGCCCTTCAGAGCCAAGTGGGGTGCCGGGAGGGAGTGTGGGGGGCGTGTGTGAGCTCTGCGCCCCGGCGGGCCCCGGCTCCGCGGGGCCTTCACCTTGCGCGCCCGGCTTGCGTCTCGGCCGGGCGGGCCGGGCCCAGGGCACCCCGCAGCGGCCCCATCGCCCCGAGCAGCGGGCTCCGAGTGCCCGCCTGGCACAGCCCGAGTGCACTTCCCAGAGAAGCGGCATTAAAAAGCCCATCTCGTAGCAAAGCTCAGACAGAGGCGGTTTAAATACGTTTGTTATGGCATTGGAATCTGTTCGTGCGAGCCCGTTATTTTAGCTTTGTGCCTGGGCGCACGCAGGCTCCGCTCCCCGTATTAGTTCTCCATCAATCCCCGCTCTGGTTTTTAATCAAAACAGTATTCGGAATATGATTCCCGGAGATTATATTTCGAGAGATTTGCGATACATATCTTGCCGGCGTGACAGATTGCAGGGGAGTCCTGGGCGGGCGGGATAATCTGCATCTCGCTCACTTGACCTTTAATAAAAGGGGAGTAAAAGTAATAAATAAAAAATAAAAGTCTTAAGACTCCTGCAGGTTACCTTCGTGCCTGCCCTAAAGAGAGCCCGAGGCCTGCACCCGCCTAATTAACTCCCCCGGCGGGCTTCGCGGCTCTTTGGCGGCCGGGGGATTCCAGGGCCGGGGGCAGAGCCGGCAGCTCAGGGGAGCTCCCGGCCGTCCCCGGGCTCCGGGGTCTGTGCAGGTTTCGTGTCCCGTGAGCACCTCAGGAGCTGCCTCCCGGGGAGCTCTGCCGAAGCCGCCGGGAAACGGAACGGGAGGAAGCCGGGTCGCTCCCCTGCGGGATGGGCGAAGGCGGCCGGCACACAGCCGGGAGGGAGGACCGGCCTGGCTCTGCCGTGCGGACACGCGTGGGAAACCTGCACATGTGTTCCCAAGGCAGATTATACCTGTCCTCTCCGGTGGGAGCGGAGGGCGGAAAAGTCGCCTTGCAAGAACCCTTCGAAAGGGCCTAATACTCTTTATTACAAGCCCTAATCCTTCAAATCCGACTTGAAATAATGTTTATCTTTTCGCAGCTTAACTTCCCCTTCTCTAAGCTTCGGGTCACTGCAACAGACTGCTGCTGCTGCTGCGTCCCTTGTCCAGGGCTGCTCCGGAGAGCGGGACAGCCCCGTGGCCGGGCTGCCGACGAGCCCAGCCCTGCTCCCAGCCCCACTCCGGGCCATGCCGTCACCTGCTGCCCTCGTGTGCACTTACCTCCCCCTCCCTTTCCTCCCCGGATCCTCCAAAGCCCGACCAAATTTGCCTTCTTTCACAGTGCCGCCGCAGCCGCGACTGCTCTGCTCCCGGCAAGGGCCGCGGCTGTTACCGGGGCCGAGGCCGGGGACAGCCCTGTCACATCTCCCTGCGTTGACCTGCAGCTCCTCCTTTCCCCTACGAATTGCTTCTCCGGTCGCAAACCCAGAGGGCTCGCAGTTATGTAGCCCCACTCGTCTTGAGTAGCCTTTAGTAAACATACAGAAGTCTACTCGATATTCCAGATTGATTTCCCTGATTTATTAAGGCAGAATTCATTGGACTCTATTGACCACAAATGACTTAATGTAAATGCTGACCCCGGTGAACTTGGAAATAGCAGGTATCGGGTTGATCTATAGATGACCTCTTAATTACCACAGTTATTAATTTAAATTATTGCCACTGCTTCTAGAGACGGGAACAAAGAAACATTCTTTCCTCATCCCTGCTTGGTTTATTAGTCTGAACACAAAGTGTTTGATGACACTTTTAATTAAACAGAAATAATGCAGAGATACGGTTTCTCTTTCTCGTCTGTCCTGTAAAGTGCAGCACTGCTCTTTTGACTGACTGACGGCGGTGACCCACTAACAACGTCCTACTTCGCCGCCCGGTCGCCACCCGCTGCCCGGGGGTGCCCCGGCCGTGCCCCAGGGCGGGTGGCTGGTGTCCGGGGCCGCTGCTCCCGGGCTGTGCCGGCTCCTGGCTGGAGAGCTCCGAGGTCACTGACGGCTCCGTCGAGTTCAGCTCATCCGTGTTAATTAGAGACTCTGAAAAATACTTTCAGCGGAATCTATGTACAGAGACGGGGAAAAAAACCAGTCCGGCGTAACCTGCGCCGCTTCTCCTCCTTCTCCTCCCCTGGATGGCGCGGAGCAACTGCACACTGGTGCCCCTTGGCAGAACAGGGCGCTGAGCAGAGAGCGCAGGTTTGGGAGGAAAAGGAGAAACAAACCACGACGTGGGGTGGGGGGGAAAGAGAAAATATTAGGGTGCGGGTTTTTCTTCCTTTTTGCAAAGACGTCAATGGGCAATATTGAACACATGGCAGCCGAGCGGCGGGGAGGCGCCGGTCCTGCGGCCGCTCCGCCCGCCGTGCCCCTCGGCCCCATGTGCGCAGCACGCTGTGCCGCGGCGGCCCTTCCCCGGCGAGGGCAGGGCAGGCGGAGCCGCGAGGCCGCCGCCGGCCCGGGGAGAGATTTCCTTCGTTGCGCAAGCCGAGTGCTTCCTTACAGCCGGAGCCCCGTCGCCAGCGCCCAGGATGGGGCGGGCGGCCCTGCGGGACGGAGAAGCGGTGATAAGCTGGAGCTAAGTGGCCGCGGGTTGCTGCCCCGCCCGGACGGGAGCTCCGGGAGCGGAGCAAAGCGGCGGCCTTGGCGCAGCGCTCTCAGGCCGGGGCCGCTCCGTTGTCCCAGGGCCAGACGGGCTGGCGTGTGCTTCGTGCGAGGTGCGGCCCCGGCAGCCGGTCCGTCACCTACCTCACCTCCGCAGCACGGGCCGGAACGCCGTCCGCAGCCTGTCCAGGCAGGTCCCACCCAGCTCGGTGCCTCCCGGGCCGCCCTTGGCGCCCCGCCCGAAGCCTGCACAGACACAAGCGGCTCGCGGTGGGCACGGCGCGGTCCCGCCGCCCTCCCCTGCCCGCTCGCCTCGAGCGGGGAAACCTCGGCGCCTGCACCTGACACCTGGGGTACGGCCGAACACCGGGGGCGTCACTGCGCGGGCGGGCTCACGCCGCGCCCTGTGTCCCGGCCCGGCCCGCGGTCCCGCCCGTCCCCGCGGCCCCGCCGCCGCGGGTACCTTCGCCCGCCGCCGCGAACTGGCACGGCTCCCCCAGGCCGCGGTGGGACGCGCAGCTGCGCGGGAGCGGCTGCAGGTTGAAAGCGGAGCTCCGGAAGACCTTGGCGGGCTGGGGCTGCTCCCCCGCCGCGCCGCCGCCTCCCTCCGCGCCGCGGCCCTCGGGGCTGCCCCTGCGCACCGCGCTGGCCCCGGCAGTGCGCGCCAGCGACCAGATGCGCGGCTTCTCCGCGGGCGCGTAGGGCGGCGGCGGGGCGGCCAAGGAGGCGGGGGCGAAGTCCGCGGCGGGGGCCTTGGCACAAGGAAAGGCGTGGAAGGGGCCGGGCAGGCTGCAGTCGCTCCGCGGAGCCTCGGGCAGCGCCGCGCCCAGGCTGGGGGCTTCCTGCAGGGAGCTGGTCCGGCCCTTCTCCGGCTTCCCCGCCTCCTCCTCCTCCTCTTCCTCCTCCTCCAGGTCGCTGAACCGCAGGTCCTTGTCCTCCTTGTAGCTCTTCTGCTCTGCTTGGACACACATGGGGAAGAAAGGGGCGGCACGGCGTTAGTGCGGGTGCGGGGAAGTTGGGGGGCCTCGAAATCGGCCGTCACTTCGAGCCTACTTGGAGGCGCCCGCCTGCCTCTCCCGCCTACCTCTGCCTTCACCCTCCGCACTGTATTCATCCTCTTCCCTCGGGGTTTCTTCTTTCCTCTCTTCCCCCGCTTTGTTCTTAGGAGACCAGGTCATTTTGTTTTCTTTTTTAAGCCTCCGTCTGGCGTTAGCGAACCAAGTGGACACTTGCGTCAGGGTCATTTTAGTGATGATAGCCAGCATGATTTTCTCTCCTTTGGTGGGGTAGGGGTTTTTGCGGTGCTCGTACAGCCAGGTCTTGAGGGTACTCGTCGTCTCTCGCGTTGCATTTTTGCGTCTGGCTGAACCACCGAAATCCACCGTCCCGTACCTGCTGGGAGATGTTTAGGGAGGGGGGGCCGGCGGGAGTCCGGCAAGAACCCCCCGGCCCGGCCCAACCGCGCCGCAGGCCGGTGTGGCCCCTGCCCATCTGCCTTCCTGCCCCTGCCCTCCCGACATCGCCGCCCAACTTTGGTTTCCGCTGTCTGCTGTTCCCGGGCGCCTCATTTCTTTTGTACAACGTTTGTCAGGTCGGAGCCCCCCCGTCCCCCTCGTTTGATGTCGGCCGGCGCCTCGCAGGGGGATGCTAATGCTGCCGGGCGCTGATCAAAGGGGTTTTACCTGTCGTACTGGTACTGCCCCAAGGAATGATCGTAGGAGTAGTAGGTAGCGGGCTGCGCGATTCCCGAGTGCAACGTGCCGGCGCCGTCTTTGATTTCATACTGGGGGTTCTGCAAGGGAAGCGGCAGCATTTGGCGTCGAGCAGGACGGGAGCCCCGCCGCGGCCCCGGCTCCCCGCGGCACCCGAGTCCCTTCGCGCCCCCCACCCCGACGGGCCGGCGCCGCTCCCGGTCCCACGTCCCTCGGCGCTCCCCCGCCCCGACACCGACTGCGAAAGGAAGTTTCTCCCGCCTGTTGCACCCCCCTCCCCTCCGGAGCGGTGCCGGGCGGGCGGGCGGGCACTCACCAGCGCGGTGTAGAGCGCGGCGGGCTCGGCGCCGTAGGGCAGGTAGTTGCCGTAGCCCTGGCCGGCGGCGTACGGGGCGCTGTACATGCCCAGCGCGGCATTGAGCTCGGCGCGGCCGGGCGCCAGCAGCCGGCTCTCGTACGGGGCGCAGCAGAGGGAGGCGGCGGCCGGCGCCGAGGAGGCATCCGGCCCGGAGCGAGGGGCGGCCTCGCAGCAGGTCGTGCTGGGGCTGGCGGGCACGAAGAACTGCGGAGAGGAGAGAGCGGGACGGAGCCGAGTGACTGTCGAGGCAGCCCCATCGGGGGGAATTTAGGAGCGTGTGCGCTCCCGTGTGTGTGCGGAGGGGGGGGCGGCGGTGAGGAGGGGGATAGGAAACGCGGGCTGAAGCAACTAATTATAGAAACCGGGAAATAAACCGGATGGGAAGCAGGAGCTCTTGGGAACGGGGCACGATTAATCAAGCAGGCAAAACTTTAAGGAAATAATTGCTCTCGAAAAAGGTGTAAGATCCGTAAGGCTCCATCCTTCCCGCCCCCGTTCGGTCCATCTGCATTGATTTAAAGGCAAAAAGTTGCGATTACAGTTAATTTGACAATAGACACAGCAGTAAATATGTCAGCCAACGCAATCGAAGGCATTTGATTTCAATAACTTCAAGGGGACAGCTAACTTCCCAAGCGAGGGAGGCACATCTTGCAGTGATTACCGTGTATAAATAATTCTACCCAAATAAATCGTGACTCGAAGTACGATATAGCTACGACTTAGTTAATACAGGGTGCCTTGGTGTGAGTGGGGGATGTCCTTTGGAAATCGCATGGGGAAAAAAAAAACCACAACACCTCTCGACAGATCCTAATAAAACACAGGAAAAGGACCGACTCGTGGAGGAAGGAGGGAGGAAACGGCACAGCCCGGTTCCGCAGATACGCGAGTGGAACCCCGAGCCCGCCGAGCGCCGGTTCCCGCTGCCCGCACACCCTCCGCGGTGCCCGGGAGGCAGCGGTGCGGCGGGGGCTGCGCTGCGCGGCCGCTCCGCGAGCTCGGAAAGCGATCGTAGCTGGGATTTATGTTTTTATTTGTTTGTTGCACTTAAAACTGAACGGTGAAGGGTGGGGAGGAGGGGGAATTACCGATTTCCTACGCGCCTTTGCTGTGCACGCTGCGAGTTATTTGTTTAAGCCTAACACAACACAAACGAGACATAAACACACACGCACAGTTTTTAAAAAAAGGCTCCAGATGTGCCCTTTTAAAAAATTATTCTGAGTAAGGGAAAGGGAAGAAAAAAAAGGAGGGGGGGACAAGACATCTGGACAGCAGCAGCAGAAGCTAAACAAAAGTGAGTGCTGCTCACTCGCCTTACCTGTGAAGTGGTGCTGTAGGGGTATCCGAACTGAGAGAAGGACATAGTTGCTCCTTATTTTTGGACCATAGGCAATATTTTCCCCCCAAGATCGATTGTAACTAAACCCTGCTTCAAGATGCACCTTCTCTCACACACATTTCCACGTATGGCTTTTTTTTTTTTTTTTTTTTCAATTATAGATGATTGCACTTAAGCAGCCAGACATCTGAGGCGGGGGGGTGGGGGAGGTTGGTGCCTGGATTAAAAAAATAGGCTACCCCCCACTTCCCATCGCTCTTAATAAATATGTTTGTATAGAGGGAGTTTAAAAAGCCGCCCCACATGTATAGAGAGTTTAAGTGCAAAGGGGCTTTTTCAAAGAGGGGGGGAAAATCACGTAGGGCTTGCAAGATACGGAGCTTGCTTGTATTATTTTCTGCTCTATAGGTCTTTAGCGTTCATCGGTGGGCGAGGAGCGGGGTGACGTCACGGCCCTGCCGGCAGCAGCAGGCAGCGGCGGGCAGGAGCAGGCAGCGCCCCGCGCCCGCTCTCTGCACTTGTTTCGTGTTGGTTTAATGTTGTGCTGTGATGCACGTCAAAGGCGGGACTGGGGGTGCCTTGCGGTTGGTCTCTTTTCCCTTTATTTTTGAACAAGATCAAAATTTGTCTTAGGGGAATAAATTTCAAGCGGGGACATCGCGGCACCCGCCAGCCCCAGCGTGCCCCGTGCCCCGGGCCCGCTGCGGGGAGGACGAGCGCCGGGCAGGGGTCGCGGTGGCAGCGGCGGTGCCGGGCGCACCCAGGGAAGCTGCTCTCGAGGTGGGCCCGCGGATGCAGCCCCCCCGGCCCTTCTCAATGACCTCGTGCCCATCCCCAGGGCCGGGCGCTGCCGTGCAACTCTGCCCCGGTTCTGCACCGGAGCCGCTGAGCCGTGCTCGCCGCCTGGGCGTCGCTGCCCGTCGCGGCGGCCGGGAGCCGCGGGAGCGGGGTCAGACCTCGCCCCGCACAGCGTGCGCTGCCTGCCTGGGCAGGGCCGGGGCCGGACAGAACACGGGCCGCAGAGCAGCAAGAAGCCCATTCTCTAAGGAGTGCTGAGCGGGGCGTCCCTTGTTCCCCATTAGCCCCGTGATGGTCCCTCCGGGAGTGGGGGGGCCGGAGCGGTGGCAGGTCAGAGGGGCGGTGATGTATGGATGGCTGCCTGAAGCCCGGCCGGCCCGCTACCGCCACGGTGTAATTGCATCAATTAACAAATGGCAATGTCCTTGTTTAACCAGCGACTTACATATTGCAAATTTGCCTTTGAGGCGAGATCACCGGGAGGTAAAACCGGGATTTTCCGGCCCCCTGAACCTGGAGCTGCCGCGGCGCTCCCGGGCCGGACAGGGCGCGATGTCCTGCCAGTGGCAATTCATAAAGAAAAAGAAAACCAAGTGAAAACGCGACCTGGGGCGGCCCGGCAGCACTTGTCCCGAACACGCCGAGGCCGTGTCCCACGGAGGCTGTGGGCAGCCCTGGCAACCGTGCCCGTGCCCGTGCCCGTGCCCGCCCCGCGCCCGCCGCTCCGCCGCCGCTCCGCTCCCCGACGGGTGGCGCTGCCGATCCGCGAGCGATGCGCGCCGGCCCGGCCCGGCCCGGCCCGGGGGCCGCTCCCCTGCGCACCCCAAGCCGGGCGGTCCCTGCCCTGCCCTGCCCTGCCCTGCCCTGCCCTGCCCTGCCCTTGCGGGCGGCGCTCCGCCGGCAGGTAGCGCGGTGCGCGGCCCGGGCAGCCCTTGCCGGAGCTGCGCGCTCGCGGGGCGCTCCGCGGACCCGCACGGACGCTCCGCGGGCTGCCCGCGCCGTCGGGGCCGCAGCTTGCACGGCCGCTGCCCCCGGGCCGGAGCCACGCGAGGGGAGCGGGCCGCCCAAACCGCGTCCGCCCCGCCGGGGTGAGCCGAGGGGCCCGGAGCTCGGGGCCGGCTCTCACAGCCCTCTATGTCGGCCGCAGCCTGGCGAGACGGAGCGCTGTAAACCCGAGGCCTGTCAATTGTCGTTAACAGGGGCAATAACTTAAAATTCATTAAAGAACACCTTTGGGTAACGTTACTGCTAATTATTTAATTGCAAGAATCCCTATGGGGAAAATTATGCTAATTATGGAGTAATAAAACCACTTGTTCTAAAGCACTTAATTCAGCAAAATTTAGTCTTTTCACCAGACAACTTGGTATGTTATTTGATGAAAGAAACAACAAGAGTGGCTGTGTGCTCATCCTGCCCGCGGCTCAGAGCCCAAAGGAGCTGTCACTGGCAGTGTGTTTGTACTGGCAAGTTGCATGCAGGGCTCTTGTCCTCCTTGCTGAAGTGACAAGCACAGCGACCACCAAAACTGGGGCAGAATTCACTGTGCAAAAAAGCATTTTTATAACGGAGATAAAGCAGATCAATGCAAACACTGAGCTTCCCAATCGTTATCATGCACAATCAACGTGAAAGCAATTTTGTTACCTGTCAGGAACGTTCTAGCTGAGCTAAGCTTTGGAGGGTGGCCTTTCCCAATCCAGCTCTCTCCACTTACAGCACCCTGCCCTACAAAGATGTTTCAGCAACATACTTTTTTCTAGACGTGTTCGAGAGCCATCCAGACGACCCCTTTAATTGCCCTTACAACCTGGGAGAATGAATGGCACTCCTGTTAACAAACACAAGTTCTGCTGTGCTCCCCAGCTCTTTTGGAGGACACAAACTCTGTCTCTTTGTGTTCTGAGCACTGCCACCATTCACTCTGCCTGTCTGTCACTGAGCAACTATACTCTGCATGTCAAAGCTGCCAAAACATCTTTCTGTGATTTGTAAATATTGGCATAAACCTTCTGTTAACAAGTTCTTGAACCCGGCTTGTTAGAGGGTAGCTTTGGGTTGGAGTGTGCAATTTGCTGTTTTTCTCATTTCAGGAAATCAGCTTCAACAGCCCAATTGCCATTCTGCGCATACACCGTGTCTTAGAGAAGTGCAACTGATGCTGTATGTGGTCACTGCAGATCTTTCTTTCTCTAAATCTGTGTCATCTCTCTCCTTGCATGCAGGCATATCATCCCACCCACCCCCACGACATGTATTCCCCTCACCCAGTCATCCTGGCGAGGAGTGTGTGACTACAAACACGAGCAAAACCAGAAAATGATCTCTCTTGATTCGCAAACTTTTGTTCTTGAAAGAGAGGACTGTGAGGCTTAACTGTAAACATTTCTGCAAGCAGTTCTTCTTGAAGCGAGGCAGGAGTTCAAATGCAGCCAACAATGCGATTTTTGATGCTTTTAGAATCAACATCATTTGGTTTAGCTCTGATATTGCTTTGCTCAGGAGGTAATTGCAAGGGGTGAGAGTAACAGTCTGTGCTTCCTACTGATGCAAATGCAGCTGCCGATAACTGCAAACGAAATAATAGGTTAATTGAAAAAAGCAGGGGAAGAAGAAAGCAGCTTCAAAAACATGTAGCAGAAAAGTGGTTGAGAAGAAAGTGTCTTTATATTTTAGAATACAGGGGGATTTTTTGGCTGTTGCTTTTTTTGTACTGAGAAAATGAAAATTCTTCAAGTCCATGCATGAATAAACAAGTACAGCTGGGCAGCCTAATACATAATTTATACTGATCAGTCACTGCAGATTTAACTGAATAAAGCCAAAATGAACACTAATTGTTTTGACAAACTAAAATAGTGTATATGATGGTTTATTGTGAAGCTTGCTGGTTACTGTCCTTATCTCAGTGGCTATTTTCAAGACTCATTTCTGCATGAGAGGCAATATAAAGATTAAATAAATGAGGACAATATAAAGATTAATATCTTGTTGAAGATAAAACATTTTGGTTGTATAACATACAAGCAGAAAATAGGAAGAACTGTCTTCAGGAGAGAGGGGAGGACTGGCACAGTGAAGTGTGGGACAAGATTTAGGGGGTGAGGTATTGCCAAGGTTATGGGTGGTACCTTGTCAACTGAAGGCTAAACCTGAAAGTAGCATTTTGTTTTTGTTGCATTTGAAATACACTGGGAATAAATTTGCCTTTGGATACTTGTCTTCTGAAAGGGGACATCCAAAAAGTTGTCAGTGAATTTCTGGAGACTTATGTATGTGGGCTCGTTAGTCTAAGAAGCTACACAATTTTGCTCTGGTTTAGTACGTGCAACGTGAAAGAAATACATGGCTGGGCCTTTGCTTTGCTTCTCCAAACCCTCTTATTGAGATGGATGGATGGATAAATGAGAGCAATTTAAGACATCATTTGGAAATTAAGTAAGAGACAGACAAATGTAATAATGTTCATGGGGATCTCTAAGCACCATGTCTGCGTGGGTTCCTTTGTGTGACAGTGAGCTGCTGCTTCCTAACAGTCCTCCACAGTGGCCTCCCCCTGCCACCTCTCCCTCCTGCCTCTTCCCCAAGGACTGGCAGCTCCACTTGGCTCCCAGCATCACTTACATGATGATCGATGGGTTTGCTGAATCTCAGATCATCACTGTGTTTGCTGTGATTAAGTTTTAGGATATGGCTGTAAAATTGACAGTTGGGCTTGAGTGTTACTGGAGCTGGAGGATGGTTGGACCCAGGGCTTTATTCTGAGCCATCCCATGCCCAGCAGCAGCCAAGTGAGTGGAAGCTGGACATGACTCTTTCTCAGGCTCTGAGGCGGCATTTTCCTTATATCTAGGTCATCACTAACTTGTGATCACCCCAACTTGTGAAAACATGCTTTGCTGATGAGAAAACACTTCTTTTGTAAGAGTGCTCTTCATCAGGGTAGTTGAGCTCTTCTGTACTGGCTTTCTTTAGGTTATCTGTAGATTATTCTATAAAGTATGGATTCAATTGGTGAAGATACATCTACACAAAACTGTGAGACCTTCACCTCTGAGAACGTGTTTTCCTGAGATGTGGGTTAATTTATGCCGGGAGACTTAGGGCAGCTCTCATTCAGTCTGATCCCTCTGTGAAGTCAGTTTCCAGTAAAATCAATATAAATAATTTTAATTTTTTTTTTTATGATGAAGTGATTCTTGGTCTGACACATCATGAGCAGGGTTCACATGCTTTTGTGCATCAGCTCA